GCTCTCCTAATTGACGGATTCGAATTTTTCAAAAAGCGTTTGAAAGCTTGATAGCCCTTCTATATGTGATTAAATTTTCAAGTATCTAAGGGCCTTGGTTTTTGCTGTGCAAAATTTTGAAAATTTGCAATTTTGTTTTCAAAATCTGGATTGCAAAATTATTATGCAAAATCTATCGAACCGATTTTAATGAAATTTGGTGTGATGATTCAACATAATATGAAGTTTTCTTGAATCAAGTATGAAGATCCAATTTAAAGACCTCAAAAAAATTCCCTAAAATGTATTGTTTTTTAACCCCATTTTTGGCGATTTTTTCGATTTCTACAATAATAATCATGATTCATTCGATTTGTAACTAGTCATATTTTGTAAAATTTAATTACAAACATTTTTTTCCTAAAATCAACTCTTGAAAAGATACATAATAAATAGGAAAAAAATATGACATTTTTCGAATTTTTTTAACATATTGTGCCGCCAAAAGTTAAGCCCACATTTTTTTTATGCGCATAAAAAAATTTTCATTTCTAGTGATATTTGAAAGCCAAAAAGCCAAAATTCTCCGTGGATATACGATTCACCCAATTATGGACTCTTTGAAACAGATACTGTCTGGACTATTTCTCAGAGCAAGATATTCCCGGTTCGGCAAGCTAAATTTATAAAATCATCTCCAAAATTTTATAGTCCTGCTTCAACTCCGCTATCCCTTAACCCGGACCATGGAAGCTACCGTAGACCTATGATCTGGGGCATAAAGATTTGTGTTCTGGCAGCAACATTTTTTTTCTCTTTACATCTACACTGAAAGAACATAATAGTACTTCCTTGGCTATTTAATCAGAGATTGTTTTGCAATCAAATTGGTTTAAAACCGCTTTCTGGAGGAGTTTCCTGATGACACGGTTAAAAGACGAATTCAACGGCTCAATATTCTATGAGATACACGGTTTTTTTCCATGACCCAATCCATTTTTTTGTGACATACTATGTTGTCAGTTCAGATACAAACAAACTGCGGGTGACTTTGTAACACAAATCTATATCCCCACATCATGGTCTACAGCAGCTTGCATGCTTCGAGTTAAAGGATTACAGATTCAATTCCTCAAAGTTTCGTAAGTATACATCTTTGAATACCCAGGGTTAAGAGATTACGGGGTTATTGGGTTATGGAGGCCTATCAACTCATAGTCATGTAGTTTCCATAGAGTTTCATGGTTCTACACTCTCACACACACATCCCAGCATTACGAGGTTATGGAACTATGAAGCTATGGGGTTATGGTGCAATGAGATGAGATGAGATCATGAATTCAAATATTTCTCCAGTCCCTGACTATTCAAGTCAGTTTTAAATCTCGAAAACCTCTTTCTGGCTCTTAGGGTCAACGTCAACATACGAACCGATCTGGTAATTCTGACTTTAGAATCGAATTCAGCGCGTCAAAGTACTTTGAGATACACTGGTCTGGTCCACAGCCCAACGTACTTTTTTTATCTAGTGTTTTATTTTTCAATAGAGCTCTATAGAAAAAATTAGTCTTTTATGTCGTATCAACTAAGCAAGACGATCAATATTATTCAAATGAAAAGCCTATTTTAAATTTACATTATAAAACTAAGGAAACATTTCTTTATTTAGTCATGAATATTAGGTAAATCTAATTTGATTTTTCTTTCCTCTGTAAGATCAAATAGGTCATTTATCATTAATACAGGGTGGGCCACCAGTAACGCCTTGGTCGCTAGGGACCAAACAGCAAATGTTATAGAAACCTGTTTGGGTGGGTACATGTAAGTTGATTACGGCTACATTTTAAAAATATTTTAAAATATACAGGGTGTCCAGGAAAAGCGTACCATATCAAAGTTATGTATTTTTAAATGGAACGCCCTTATTTTACTGAACATACAGAAAAAAAAATATATGTAAACTTTATTAAAGGTTCTGCATACCTAGGACTTATTGTTTGTGAGATATTTCAATTTTAGTGAAAATGCAGGCTTAGCGTTGAAATTTAATATTAGCAATAAAAAAATAATTTTAAAGAAGCATCTTTGGAAAGAGTATTTTAGATCCTTGAAGTTATAAATTATTATATTTGTCATCACTTAGTATTATACAGGGCGTTCAAAAAAACTGCTGGAAACTTTTCTCAACTTTAAACTGCAATAACTTGGTTATTTTAAATGGGACACCCAGTATATTTTTACTTTGGAAGTTAGGAAATTTAAAACTCTTTCAAACTGTGTATAGGTTCCCTATACCTATCTCTAACGGTATTGAAGATATTTGTGCCGTTTCGTTTTTTATCGAATTTTTTTGTAAGATGTATTAACGTGCCTTTATCGAGGTCTTTATTGAATTGGTAAAGCATCAATCATGACGATATTCAAGAAAGTTTTTTAATAAAAAATATTATTTTATAAGCAAAATAATTATAAAAAGTTTTTAATTTTGTATTAAGGTATACCTTTAATAAAGTTCACCTATTTTTTTACGGTGCCTTCAAAAATGCAGTAAAATACAGGGTGTTCCATTTAAAAATACATAACTTTGCTATGGTACGCTTTTCCTGGACACCCTGTATATTTCAAAATATTTTGATTACGGAATCAACCTACACACACCCACCTAAACAGGTTTCTATAAAAAAATGTTATAACATTTGCCGTTTGGTCTCTAGCCACCGAGGCGTTACTGGTGGCCCACCCTGTATATTATACACATATTTCTTCTACTTCGTGCCACACAGAATAAATACTGTAGGAATTAGAATATTAATATAAAATTCTGATTTACGTTTCATTGAAAAAATATTTCTCCCTTAACCATTTCAAATGGATAAGCTCACTTTTCGGGATCGCTAGAACAAGTTTCGGATTGACAGCTCTGGTCTTCAAAGTTACAGCGGCAGTTATATCGGAATGAAATACCAAAATCTTATCCACTGCTTTATATATTTCTTCGTATGCTAAAATTAATATAACATTAACACATTTTTATAATTTCTTGATTTATTCGTATTTAAATAGGTAAATACCAGAAATTAAGTATAGGTAGAGTATTTTATAGTTAGTTAGTTTATATAGTTGACTATGTATTTATTGTCATTCATTATTATTTCCTCTTTGCCCTAAACGAAAAATATTACACGTTTCCACCAATTTTCTAACAAAATTATTACATTTTATTTATATTTTTTTAAACCTAAAATCAATTAAACCAGTAGGATTTTGTCACCTAATTAGTGCTGCTTTAAAAATCTATTGGTTATATAATAACTTCGAAAGAATGAGAATTGAGAAAATTTCAACATTAACTCTACGAAAGCGATGAAAATGTTATAGGTACATCATTTTACAAGAATTAAATAAATTTATTGCTAATTCCATACTTTAACCGAACCACCGAATGTGTTTATATGAGTTTAATAAAATTATAGTAAAACAGTTTGAATACATACGTAGGAGCGCCAATTCCTAATTTTCCTAGGGAAACCTAAATGTCCTGTGATCTGATGTTACGAAATTAGTCTAATGCCTACTAACATAAAGCGACCAGTTAATCTTTAGGTACTATAAAAGCATCGCCTGTGCGAAATAATCTTTTTCACTAGTGATATTCTGCAAAACGACTACTGTCCCGACTAGTATTAGAATACACCAGCAATTTCATTAATTACAGCCAGAATTGTTCGTCGGTCGAGCACACCAAACATATACGGGTTTGATAGTACCTACATTTTAAGTATCTCACGATATATACTAATATAATATGCTTCGTGGCATATTGATGAGAATTAATAAGTTGAAATGCTGTGAGTTTCCCGACGGATAGTCTGCAATATACTGGGAATATAACTCAATGCAAGTTAGGGCATATAGTCCATGAAGTAGTTGTAATTCAGGAAATCATTTTGTTAAAAGTTATTATGAGATAAAAACCATTCGTTTTACAAGATTTTTTTTGATAAGTGGTTTGGGGCATGTTTGACAAGTTTGTATTACTTGCGCGAAAGTGTCGTCGCGGTTAGGTGGTGCTGAGACCCTTCCGAATAAGTCTGATTACCCTAATCAGGTCGAAGCTTTTAAATGGGCGACATCGTCAGTTAAACCATTCGCCATCACGGTGACGATGTAGAGTATATAAAAATATAAAAATACTTGTGACGCCAAGAATGTAGCAAACTGGATGCTAAATGTAATTCTTTTGACAATTGGATTTACAAAGCTGTCGATTGACATTCTTTTTAATTAGTTCAGTTGTTCCCTAACAACGACAATAGGCACATTGTTTTGAGATCTTATGGGGGGGAATTTTGAACGCAAATCAGGCAGATGTTCTCGCGACAAAGGAGATAACTTCTTGTGACGGCGGCATGATAAAAAAACAATACATGTAGATAATCTACATTGACACATATTATGCAATATCACAATAAAATTAAATAAAATTGAACATAAAACGTTTTTCCTGTAAAATTCAGTGTATTGCATTTCATCCGTAAGACATTTCCTAATGAAATATAATGCCTTTTCTTCGGTCGTTCAACTCTCAATCATTTTTAGATATAAAAGAATATTAAACAAATTAAAATAATCCTCATTAATTAAATTTTCGGCAAAAACTATCCAGACACAATAAATAATTTCACAACTAACTTGACAAATGTCATGTTATTTCAATTGTTTTTGGAGTGTTTCTGGTCATGGCGAATTTGACAACAGGTCTGATACAAGAAAAACTGTCCAAAAAATAGAAAATTGTAAATATCTCTAAAAGTAATAGCGACAACCCTAACAATGATTATATGGCTTGAAAGGAAATTTCAATCTGCATACAACTGAGTAAAAAAATATAGGGTGTTCCATTTAAGTTAACAAAGATATTGTGTTTGAACTTATCAAAATGTAACAGCAAAAATGAAACAGCTAGTATTAAATGTTTTAATTTGTTGGTATACCTACCATAATGTAGTGTTACCTATGCCCTATCAGTAATTTCCAATTTATACAAGAACATACTTCGGGTATAGGGAACTATAGTATCATTTTAAAGTAAATTTAATTCTGCATCCATTAATGTAATACAGGGTGTACCATTTGAAATTTTTGAGTAGATCCAATTTCAACGTCACAATATTGGCCACACGTTTTTAAACACTCTGTATGAATTTTTTGCAAATTTGACATAAACTGGTTGAATTATAAATAAGAAATTGTATTGAAGCAGATTTGCTTGTCTCAGGAGCACTTGTCGTGCCATAAATCTTAAAGAATAACGACCCTTCTAGATAGCTGACCGTACCCTTAGGCAGGCAATCTGGGACATTCTCTAGTTGATCGGCACATCAAGTTATTGGTTGTAACCAAGTACCTTTATTATTTCAATTTCTGTCTCAATCAGTTATTTAATAAAGTATTAGAGTTCTACTTGGCGTGATAATTATTTTGGTGGACAACGTATACACCACAACTGGGTGAATTCCATTGCTTTTAAATTATCTATGCCAAATTGCAAAATGTCGGAGTTATTCTATTTTCAAAAATCAGTTACATCCCTCATTTTTTTTTCGAAAATTAATAATAACTTGAAAAATGTCACATTTTGGCCCATAGTACCTTATATGAAAATAGTCTAGAATTTGCCGCAGAATTAAAAAATGCATAAGTATACAGTGTTCCATTTGAAATAACAGAGCTGATGATGACTTCCAGTATAACTGGAAGTGCGAGGAAGTTGACATTATTTTCATTGAATAGATCTTTTTGATAAACCCCTATTATAATATAAACAAATTTTCAGATTTCAATTCTGACTACTTTTTGAGATAATCCTACTGGGCCCTCTTCGTGATACACCCTGTATATATGACTTAACTAGTTAGTCAAGACTGCTCTTCCCAATCCCAAATACGTCACTGGTTTTATGTTGTGAAATATTTTTTAAACTAGATAAAAAATGTTTATTTACCGATTCCAAACGAATGTCCGTTAAATTCGGACACAGCGATGAACTTTCCAGTACGAGCTAAGTTTCTAAATTCTTCAGTAGTAATAAAATAATAATTTTCACCCTCAACTTCACCTTCTACTCTAGGTCTAGTCGTATAACTTACCCCATAAACCAGCCTAAAAATAAAAATGATTGAAATTTGAGTCATATAATTACTGCAATTTATTTTTTCCTTATAAAGTCTAAAATTGTTAGCGTGGTTATATAATTTTTCTGAAAGGAAGAATCTAAACACAAAAAGTACAGTAATCTTCTATAACTTACCTACATAGTAAAACTTAAAGTCTGTCAGAAAATAGCAACTAAATTATGTTTTAACTGTTTATGAAAATTTTGAAGATTGTTCAACATTTTAAAAATATTAACGACTTAACGTTAATTAATTCAAGTGATTTAACGTAAATACTGAGGTAAATCTATCTGACCTTATTTATAATAATTATTTTGCAATTATGCGACATACAAATAAGTTAAAAAAAATATTTATTATATAGGGTGAGCCATTTTGACATTTTTGTTTGGGAAGATTCCTCGTATTTTTTAAGGAGAAAAGTAGCAGTAGTAGTAAGATATATCGAATTAAATTTTAACCGAACAAAAACAACTAACCTGATCTCGATATCTTTTTTCGTTCAAGATCACATACATATTATTTTGACCATTATATTTTGCAATGCTCTATTACTTTTTAATTTGTGAATTGTAAAATACAGTGGAATATGTTTCTAGAAAGTGTACGTAGTATAAGTGCCGAACGTGTAATACTTCATAGTATAGATCAAAAAGAACAAAAGATTCAAAAACTAGAAAAAACTATTTGTATGGAACTTTGTGTAGTTCAATATCAATGCTTTCAAAATGAAACAATTTTACAATAACAGATAAAACCATATGCTATGCTTATAAGCATAATCATAATAAAATAATGTTCTTCTCCAATCATTTTATTTTATGTAAAAAATTATATAATTTGCAATGTGAGTCAAATAACCCACAATATCATTTTTTAAAAAGTAGTACATGCAAATTAATAAATCGCTCTGCCTGTAGGCACAAAGCATTGACATATATGGCATACTTTGTAAGTTATATCTCGTTCAGACTCAAAACACATCGATCCAAATATCGGGTGTACTAAAATTCACGCAAGTTTTTAATTTTGCGCCATTTGTGCGGTAAAGTGTTGGCAACAAAAAAAAAAGCCTGCGTGACAGCTGACAGATCAGAGTTATTAAAAATGGAGCGCTACACGGAAAACAACGCGTTTTCATTTCATAATGAAGGTTTGGCAGCTACAGTTCGCAATTTTCGTAAAGAATATGATTGGAATAGTAATTTAACTTCATCAACTGTGAAAAGATTAATTAAAAAATTCAGAGAGACTGGATCAATTAGTGATCGTAAATACTCTGGTCGTTCTTCAACAAGTCGTTCAACACAAAACATCATTCGCGAGAGCGCTGCTAAGAGTCCAGGAACATCAACTCGGCATCGTGGTCAAGAATTGGACGTTTAGAGAAGCTCTCTACAGCCTATTCTCACGAAAGATTTGCATCTTCATGCTTACGAAATTTAATGGACTCAAAAACTGAAACTTACTGACCACGCAGAGCGAAGAAATTTGTTAAATGGATTATGGAACAACAAGTGGATGTTGTTTTTTTTAACAAAATCATCATCCGCGATTAGGTTCATTTTCATCTAGATGGCTTCGTTAATCGACAAATTTGTCGCATTTGGGGTTCAGAAAATACACGAGTGATTGTAAAGAATCATTTATGCCAACAAGCCCACGACGACCCACGTCTTGAAGGAGGAAATTGAACGCTGTATCAATGAAATTCAGCCGCATTTATGCAAAACTGTCATATACAATTTCAACAAAAGAGTGTGTATGTGCCAGCAAAACTATTTATATATAACCCTATACTGTAGGTACCTATACTTTATAAATCAATACAAAATTTACAATTATTAATTAAAAACCTGTGTTTTCTATCGAAAATTCGAGGACATAAAAATGATATATAAAGCGTTACATCTCTAAGTATATCAGAAACATCTGTTTTGTGAATGCAAACGAGAAAGATAGAACCATCAACGGAGGACAAAGTAATTATTTTTGACATTTGGTGTTGAAGTTTATTAATAATTTAAAATAATAATGTTGTATTACGTGAGAATAAAATCTGTTTTGGTTTCATTGGAGACTTATTGAATTTTAAAAATTAACTGTATAACATTGCAATCAACTGTAGGGAACTGGACTGTATCAAGTTTTAAGTTTGTATCTTTGTAATTGAGTAATTAGAAAACTAGGATCACGTTCAACCTTCGAAGATTATAGAACCCGTAGGATTGCTTTTGAAAAAATGATTACCTACTCTTGTTTTTTTTTTCGCTGTTTAGATGAAGGGAATCGGCTCTGAAAATGTATCGCAACGTTGTTGTTACACAAATAAAAACTGGACGTTAGTGAATCCTCCGCATTTTAGGGTATCTCAGAAACTAAATATAGAAACGATTCTCTAGCTGGATTTTACTGACAAATTTAGATGTCACAAATAGGGTGTCCCACGATGACGAAACATTTGACATATTTCAGAGACTACGTCGACTTTACTTTTGAAAATTTAAGCAGTAGTGTTTTCGGGCATGCCCTTCTCAACTAAAATAATGGCGTCCGCCTAACGCTTTCATTTATATCGGAAGTTGAGGACAGCTTCGTTATTTTATATGGAACACCCTGTATATTATTGCAATTTTGAATTCTACGTCAATTTTTAGGTGAACTTTCATAAAGGTTAAAAAGTTAGAGTGATAAATGTATAAGGGACATAACTACAACTCTAAGCTTCCTTGCCATAATTTCAAAATGACTTAATTTTATACAGGGTGGTAGAAATTTAATGCCGAATTTAGTCAACTTTAAACCATCCTAATTTTTTTTTAATGGAACATCCTGTATATTTTTGCGCAACCTGATGACAATTTTGTTCTCTTTCGAATGGTATAATGGTTCCCTATACCTATCTCTTCTGGTTTTTAAGGTATTTACTATTTTTCGTGCTGTCAACGGATATTTCTTGCAAAGATGACTATGAAATTTTTAGTGGAACTTCAAAACAAGCACCTAATCTGTCACCAGTTTATTGTTGTCAATTTAATACATACGGTGAACTTTTATTTGAGTATCATCCTTGACTATATACACTCGTCAAAAGTATCATTTATTGTTAAATAATGGAAAACGTTAACGTTTATTCAAATGCTGACATTCTAAATTTATTATTTATTCATGGAGAGTGTCACAAGATATAAATACAACTTGCAGAGTTTCTAATGAGAGATGTACTCATTGACTACCATTCAGTTAGGGATAAATTAAAAATAAATTTTAATAAGATAACATAATTAAACTACATAATACGAATAATAAATTATTTTCAGAAATCTAATTAATTTGCTCGAAATGACCGCCATCTACTTGTAAACAGTTATGTACCCTTCTTGTTACCCCATCTGTAACAGCTCCGGATATTTGGGTAGCAGGTAAAGTTTCAAAGGCTTCTCTTATACGGGCAACTAGGTTTTCTTTGGAATAAACTGGCGTTGAGTACACTTTCCCTTTTATTGCACCCAGATATAAAAAACTTGTGATCACAGATCTGGAGATCTTGGTGGCCAATCCCAGGGTCCTAGACGTCTAATCCACCTGTCTTCAAATATTTCATTTAATTGGCAGGATACTTCGTTTCCACAATGAGGTGGAGCACCTTCTAGTTGACACCAGCAGCTTCTTAGTTGATCTAGGGGTAGATCCTCTAAGAAATCTGTTACAACGGTTGTCAAAATATGGAGGTATCTTTGTGTACTTAAATTGTATTCGTAACTAAAGTACCTCCCCTGATTTTCTTTAACTGATGATTCAGGGTAAATATGAAAATATGCCAAACCATTGACGAGATGTTACCTTCATCTAAAGTTGTCGGCTTTGGCAAAATGTTATGTGCAGAAATAAGACCATGTTCTAATTGATTTCTTAAAATTCTTTGTAAAATATGTCTACTCAGTAGTGGTAAATAAGGATATCTTTCATTAAATACCCTGCAAGTCCCTATTTATTATCTTGTGACACTCTCCATAAATAAATAATAAATTTAGAATGTCAGCATTTGAATAAATGTTAATGTTTTCCATTCTTTAACGATAAATAATATTCAAATAAACATTAACTGTATGTGTTAAATTGACAACAATAAACTGATGACAGATTAAGTGCTTGTTTTGAAATTCCACTAAAAATTTCACAGTCATCCTCGCAAGAAATTATGCGATATCCGTTGACTGCAGGAAAAACAGTAAATGCCTCAAAAACCAGAAGAGATAGGTATGGGGGACCATAATATTATTCGAAAGAGAACAAAATAGTTCCTCAGGTTGCGCAAAAATATACAGGGTGTTCCATTAAATAAAGATGGTTCAAAGTTGACTAAATTCGGCATTAATTTCTACCACCCTGTATGAAATTAAGTCATTTTGAAATTATGGCAGGGAGCTTAGAGTTTTAGTGATGTCTCCTATAGGTAAATTTTATCGCTCTAACTTTATTATTGTAAAATACACATCTTTTTGAATTAGACAGTGATTTTTAACTTTTTTTGAAAAAAAATAAATGTATCAAAAACGGTTAACTATAAGAATACGAAACCTTTATGAAAGTTCACCTAAAAATTGACGTAGAATCCATCCAAAATTGCGATAATATACAGGACATTTCATTTAAAACAACGAAGATGACGTCAACTTCCGATATAATCGGAAGCGTTAGGTGGACGCCATTATTTTAGTTGAGACGGGCATCCCCGAAAACACTATTGCCCAAATTTTCAAAATTAAAATCGAAGTAGTCTCTGAAATACGGCTAATGTGTCGTCACCGTAGGACACCCTGTATAACGGGTATCTTCAAATATTATTAGATTTTGATAAACATAGATGCTGGCAATCATTCGAAACTAATTCGAAAAACCATTAGTGGCAGCACCGTTCGTCCCAGTTAGAAAAGTGTGCATCAAATGGATTTTCTTCCCCTTTAGGGTTCTGGTTTATGAACT